GCCGGCTGTGCAAGCGTCCAGCCGATGAGGTGTCAGCGCCTCGGGAGCCTTTCCATCCCAGTGTCGGCTCATGCAGCCCCCACCCTGCTTGTGCTGGATGCAGAGGCGGGCGGCCGGGCACATGGCTTCCCCGCGGCCAACAGCCGCGCTGCTCCCACCCAGGCCGTGCAGGGTGTGCTCCGGCTCGGGCCCTGGCTCGGAATGTGGCCACCACATGCAGCATCCTGGGGCACCTGGACCGCCTGACCATGCTATGCACCCGGATGAGGCACCGTGCCTAGCTTGCAGCGGCTGGTAGCGTGGCACAGAGTCAGCTGTGGGTATGTCTTGGGTGTAAGGTCGCTGTTCATCGCACGAAACAGGAGGATGCGGTCTGCAGTGCGTGGAACAGAGCGTCGCTGGCATGGGCGGCGCACCGGGCATTGCATGCAGTGATCCCTCCAGTGACGGGGAGGCCGTCAGCCCAGCACCGGCATGTCCTGGTCCTCTGGCCTGCCACCCGGCCTGCATGCTGGGCAGCGGCGCCTTGAGCTGCGCCGCCAGCTGGCTGCGGTCTGTGTCGATCTGGGAGGTCAGCGCCGGCACCGCGTTGTCGCTCAGGGACATGAGGATGTTGGGCGTGTCGATGGCGAAGCGCTTGCCTGGGGCGCGGGGCATTTGGAAGGGAGGGGGTGGGCTTGAGCTCTGAAGGGGACTGGCTTCAACCTCTCACGGCACAGGCAGCCAGGCAGGCAACAGGGTCGCAGATCTGCGAAGGGCGCCGGCCCCAGCCCACCAAGCATGTGGGGGGGACGGACACAGTCTGGTCGCCTGCGCCACGGCAGCGCCACAAGGCACACCGCGCCGTCTGCGGCGAGCAGCTGCTGCGCCGGTGTTGTGGAGGCGGGTTAGACCCTACAACGTGGACTGCTGTATATGAATTGAATGACGAATGTTACAGACGAGATCCCGAATACGGTGAGGGGCTTTGGTGTTAAGACATTGCACCAGGCGACGAAGGCATGGCACAGGGCACGGATGCAGGTGGAAAGTGGGGGGAGGGCCCCAAACAGGGCGCCCCACAACAGTTTCAGGGGCCGAGTTCGAGGCCCGGACACAGGAAGAAAGGGTGAAACAAGGTCGGCACTACACCGCTCCCGCAACGAAGGGGCACTTTCACAATGGAAAACCCTAGCGGATTTCTTACGTCATGGGACCGACCAAACCGGGTATATACTATGACAGATTACAAATCTGTCACCGACATACACAAGCGTGCGAGAGGTCGGGGGTTCGATTCCCCCTGGTCCCCTCTCTCCGGAGCACATCCGGACGCAAGGGATCATGGTCTAGTGGTATGATTCTCGCTTTGGGAGCTTTCTTTTTGCTTTTGCTATTCATGAATACTGATACTATTATAATCTATTAATAAATGCGACGCCATCGGCGAGAATCGCGGCGCGCCGGGTCCGAGGGGCGCCGCCAGCTACAAACGAAGCTGCAGGCTGCGTGGAACTCTTCCTGCACCTCACCGACGACACGCGGCTTGACGGATCTAATACTGACATCTAGAAGGCTCCTCATGAAGTTTCCAAGGGCATCTGATCAAGACACGCACCTTCCACCTGCGTTTGTGGCTTCTTTTGCAACTGCCTTCTCACCCAGAGCATACATGTCCTTGCTCTGAGTACACCTGCACCTTGATCTCTCCCCTGTAAGACAAGCTCCCCCGTAAGACAAGCTCCCCCGTAAGACAAGCTCCCCCGTAAGACAAGCTCCCCCGTAAGACAAGCTCCCCCGTAAGACAAGCTCCCCCGTAAGACAAGCTCCCCCGTAAGACAAGCTCCCCCGTAAGACAAGCTCCCCCGTAAGACAAGCTCCCCCGTAAGACAAGCTCCCCCGTAAGACAAGCTCCCCCGTAAGACAAGCTCCCCCGTAAGACAAGCTCCCCCGTAAGACAAGCTCCCCCGTAAGACAAGCTCCCCCGTAAGACAAGCTCCCCCGTAAGACAAGCTCCCCCGTAAGACAAGCTCCCCCGTAAGACAAGCTCCCCCGTAAGACAAGCTCCCCCGTAAGACAAGCTCCCCCGTAAGACAAGCTCCCCCGTAAGACAAGCTCCCCCGTAAGACAAGCTCCCCCGTAAGACAAGCTCCCCCGTAAGACAAGCTCCCCCGTAAGACAAGCTCCCCCGTAAGACAAGCTCCCCCGTAAGACAAGCTCCCCCGTAAGACAAGCTCCCCCGTAAGACAAGCTCCCCCGTAAGACAAGCTCCCCCGTAAGACAAGCTCCCCCGTAAGACAAGCTCCCCCGTAAGACAAGCTCCCCCGTAAGACAAGCTCCCCCGTAAGACAAGCTCCCCCGTAAGACAAGCTCCCCCGTAAGACAAGCTCCCCCGTAAGACAAGCTCCCCCGTAAGACAAGCTCCCCCGTAAGACAAGCTCCCCCGTAAGACAAGCTCCCCCTCTAGAAGGCTCCTCATGAAGTTTCCAAGGGCATCTGATCAAGACACGCACCTTCCACCTGCGTTTGTGGCTTCTTTTGCAACTGCCTTCTCACCCAGAGCATACATGTCCTTGCTCTGAGTACACCTGCACCTTGATCTCTCCCCTGTAAGACAAGCTCCCCCGTAAGACAAGCTCCCCCGTAAGACAAGCTCCCTTCGTGTGTCAATCCCAGGATGGTACGTAAAGGATCCAACCTGTCATAGGGTGGGGTTCTTTCACTTGCTGTTGTCGAAGCCCGCAGTTGGAAGATGTTGTTGGGCCTGACTTGGGCTCCACCCCGGGGACCGATGTACATGACCTCTGGGCTGGGAGTGTTGCGTACAAGGACCCGAATACGGTGAGGGGTCTGGGTTTCTGTTGTGGGGGCGGGTTAGACCCTACAACGTGGATTGCTGTATATGACCTAAGGTAGGAATGTTACAGACGAGACCCCGAGTACGGTGAGGGGCTTGGGTTTCAAGACCGGTGCCGGGCGGCGTAGAGGGATGCAGGGCACGGATGCAGGTAGAAAGGGGGGGAGCCTCCGGAGAGGGGGCCCTCACAACACTTTTGCACCTGCCTGCCCACTTTAAGCCCAGAGCATACATACCCTTGCTCTGAGGCAATCTGCACCTATTCTCTCAACCATTCTCCTCTGGACACACTCCCCTGTAAGACGAGCCTCCCCCTTCCGTGCGTCACTTCAAGGAAGGTACGCAAAGGATCCAGCCTGGTACAGGTTAGGGTACGTTCATGCTTTTTGTTCAACTGTTTTTTAAAAGTTTTGGGCAGCTCTTTTGCTTTTTGTTTATGTGTTTAATGTCTTTTTTAAAAGTTTTGGATATGATCCTCGCTTTGGAGGTCGGGCAGGTGCCCCTATTCTCCTACCAGGCTTGCGCCGGTTGCACAGCTACTTTCGAAGATCAGGCTGGCGCATTTGGTTGCTCAGTCAGCGAACCAGAGGGAGTTGGGGGGGGGGTGGGAGGGCGGGAGAAGGGGAAGCAGGGGGTCCACCAAATGCAGTGGGACGCGACGCCCCAGCAAAAAAGCACTTGGATAGCATCAGCATGTTGGCCGCCCCGTTCACATCGCGGTTGACGACATGGACTCTGCAGCCCTTGTTGACACACCGCTTTGTGTCCCACACGTCCACCAGCTTATCCACGCCATCGCAGACCCGCACGTACTGGTGGGCGTGCAGGGTGGTGTGACAGGCGCAACACAGCTTTGATGACCTGTGCTCGTCGACCACCACCACCACCCTGCACACCCGCCGCAGGCGCCGCAAGGAGCCCCCTCTACACAAGCAAGGATCCCCACAAGTTGCATTGATGACTTTTCTGCGCGGCGAGAGCCGCAAGCACAGGACCGCCTTCAACTGCGAGAATCGCCGTCCTGACAGGGTACGAATTCAAAATCGAGACACCTTGCGTGTGCTGCTCTCAGCCGGGCTTGCAAGAGTATGTGCTTGCCAAAACCGCATCATTGTATCTATCCTTCCCGTGTGGCGCAGAATTGGACTGCAAAGGCGTACTTCCACTGCGCTCGGGGCGCCGACCTGCCCACCGTAACGGCCAGGGTTACCGAAATTGCGGGTTTCGAGGTAAACGGCGCGAAATATTCGGGGACATCAAATTTTCGAATTTCGACTCCGAAATTTCGAGCTGACATGGCAGTAGCCCATCGGGGCCAGGCACACCCAGCGCACAGTGAGAATGGTGTGGGCGGACTGAGCAAGTGTGGGAATTAGCGCAGCGTGTGCGCAAAATGCAATTGGAGTTGGTAGCAATACGTTCACAGCACGTTACAGGGTAGGCTTTCCACAGAACGTGCAATGGATCTGGTATACATCTATGCCAACTCCCGTTTTCTGCGTGCCTTGGACAAAACTTGCCCTTTGAGTGAGCTCTTTCACGATGAGTATCTCCTGGACGATGGCATGCTACCTGATGCAGTTTAAAACACTCATATGGCCAAGCATGTTACCTCCTCGCCCCCCCTCCCCCTTGCATGAAGTGCCTGATGTAACATAGCCCGAAAAGTTTCGATATGGCGGGGTCCTCAGCTCGAAAATTTCCGGAAACTCGCATAATCGAAGTTTTCCATTTTCCACGACAACCCTGGTGACGGCACGGTCCACGGACAACCAGCGGCTGCGGCCTACCGATGAGGTCCGGGAGGTGTCCATCAAGACGGGCTGCCAGCACGAGTTCGTCATCGAGATGCTGCAGCAGAGGAAGACAGACACCATTATCATCTACCGCCACACACCCCACGCCGGCCATGACGAGGACACCAGGCAGTGGCCCCGTCTGTCTCCCTGGTTGATGGACAAGCTGGCGGAGCTCCTGAAGGCCAACTCGAGATTCTCTACCAAGGACCTGACCCTCGTCATCCAGGACATCGTGAGGAGGGAGATGGGCTGGCCCGAGCGGAAGAAGCTGCAGCCTGCGGTCTTCTTGGACCTCCTGCGCGACTTCCCGGACCGCTCCCGCGACTATCACGCAAGCTACCAGGACATAGCATGAGTTCATGGCATTGGGTGATCGAAGGGTGTTGCTTAAATCCCTTGTGACCCGGCTGTAACATGTTCTGCGCTCCCTCTGCGGGGACCTCCGCAGAAAGTTGGATTGCTGCCCCTGGATGAATATGTGGGCAGCCGCTGAGGCAGCCGAGGCGGCCGCGTCAGACGGAGGTGGGCTGCAACTGGTAGGCACCCACTCTGGGGTGTGTGAGTGTGCCTGGGCCGGGAATGCTCGCAGAGACCACCCTCTCCAACCCCCACCCTCTCCAACCCCCACCCTCTCCAACCCCCACCCTCTCCAAACCCCACCCTCTCCAAACCCCAACCCCATCATCATTTCTTCCTTTGGCTCACCCAACCTTGCCAACGCATCCACACAGTGCTTCCTCCGAATCGAAGACCGGGCACCCGCAAGAGGCGGCAGAGGCCGGGCGCAGTGGCCGCAGCCTCGTCAGCCGAGACCATCGCAGGTGCAGAGCTAGCTGCCATCCAACCCCAGCCCCTGGAGGAGGAGACTGACCTTGGCCTGCGGCTGGAGGACAGCGGCTGCGGAACGCTGCCGCCGGCCGCCGAGGATGGCCGCAGCGACGATCAGGATGAGAGGGCAGCGAAGTTCGAATTCCTGCTGGCTGGGTTCTACAGGGCAACTTTGGTCGTGGAGAAGGGGTCGGAGGCAGGGCTTGACGCGCCGATCCACGCATGGGACGCAGCAACGTTGCCTGTGCTGCCAAGATGGTCGGCCGAGACACTCCCTCGTGAGGGGCACACCAGGGGTAGTGCCCGCCGGCTTGGCTCTCACCCAGAGACTGGTAGGAAGAGAGATAGTCTGGCAAACAGCCTGCTGTGACTCCTTCATGCTTGAATTGAACAGCATCAACACGGTATGTCATCCATTTGAGACACCGAGGGGGAGGAGGGAGCCAGGCTGGAGTCTACACCCGGGGGCACCGTAGCGCCGCCCCGGAGCCCGACGGCCACGAGCAGGGATGGAGCAGCGCACACCCGTGATGAACGGTGAGGCGATCAAACAATCATAATAGTTGTCTTGTAAGCCCAACGGAACGGGCCCGAGGACTCGTGCGTGCCTCCAAGGAGGGTCTCTGATGGGGCCGAAACGAGGGCAGGAATGAGACGGGCCCATCCAGGAGCGCTGCGCGGCCCCTTGCAGACTTAAAAGCCATATCGAGATTCATTAATGCTGGGTACGCGAGGAATGTTGATTCTATTGCGAATCCACTCGTCCCCGGGAGTTGGAGGCGCGTGCCTGAGGCTCGCGCCGCTGCCAAGCACCAGGTGCTGAATCTTGGATTCCCCAGGAGCAGGCGGGCATGCAGGACGGGGCATGTGCCCACTCCTCATTTCGTCAGTGTCAGGCTACGAGTTTACGGTTCCAATCTTGAGAGGTGCACAGCATGCGGGCATGGCAGGTTTCTGCTCCACATGGGGGGAAGAGGTCGGAAGTTCTAGGTCTGAGAGGTCAAACGCTCACCACTTGGACACATCCCTGCAGCGATTGTGGGCCGGCAAGGTTTGGGTTGCAAGCCAGGTATCCGGGCTCGAGCAGCGCAGGGGCCGCACCTTGACGCCTGCCATCCCGTACTGTCGACTGCGTGCCGGCAGCACTGATCCACCCGCCATACTAGCGCGACTCCCCGCCCTGTTCCGCCCCGGCAGCACAGGAAGACCATCCCACACACATACACACCCACCAGCCACGCTCACCGTCCGAAGATGAGGGACATGGTCCAGTCGCTCATGACGTACAGGCGGTGCTTCATGGTGCCCAGGCGGGTGAGGTAGGCGGAGCGCCACGCGATCCAGGAGGTGAACCCGCTCCAGCGCACATGTTGCTGCCCGCTCCCGCCCAGCTCGATGACGGCGCTGGTGCCCCCCACGCTGGCCATGCTGCCCAGGTGGTGGTACTGGAAGGGCGGCGCGCCCTCCAGCCCGCCCGCCAGTCCGCCCGGCTGCCCCGCCGCCTCGTTCAGCGCGCGGGCCAGGTACCGCCCCTGCTGCTCCGCCACCTGGGCCAGCGCGGGCAGTGGCGTCTCCTGCGTGGCCGCCACGTCCCCCAGCCCAAAGATACAGGGGATGGGGCGGCCCGTGGGCTGCCCCGCCGCCGCACGCTCCTCCTGGATCATGCTCACCTGTAGTGGGGTGGGGGGCCGGGGGGGGGAGATATCAGATCATGGGGGGAGGGATGCATCTGAGCTCCAGGTAGCTCAAAGGTCTGTGTTCTCCAGGCCCTGGCAGGCAGCCCCCTGCTCCCCTGAGGCTTGGCGACGTCAGTGGCACCCGGGACACTCGCACCTCAACCTTATCGATATCACAGCCTACCGCCCAAGATATAAACCTCCACCCACATCCTCCAGCGAAGTGGGGCCCCGCCCATCGGCGTGCCGCGCCAGCACCCGCAGGCGGTCATCCACGGCCAGGCGGCCGCGCATCGTCTTCTCAAAGGGCAGGGACAGGGAGAAGGAGGTGGGGCCCACGCCCGTGGACCAGACGCAGAGGCCGTAGGGAATCACGGCCCCGTTCTTCAGCTCCAGCTCGTCCTTGCGCACCTGGGTTTGGGGGAGGAGGAAGTGGGAGATGCAGGGGTGACAAAACAGAAACAGGGGGCCCGGGAAGGCCGTGTGTGGAGAGGGCGCAGGCTGAGGGGCAGGGTGCAGGGAGGGAGGCACGCAGGGGTCCGGCAAATCATCCGTCGTGAAATGCCCGGCAGACCTTCGTCCCCTTCCCAGCCCCCCCCCCCCCCCGCGACGAACGACAACCACCACTGTCTTGAGCACACACACCTCCTTCACGA